CAAATATTAATCTAGTCATTAGTATTTTTTAAGTCCAGCGCTGGTGATAACATAGAAAGGCTACTGGTACCTGAAGTTCCCCTTGACCACCAGTCACACTGCAATAACATAACATGCCTTTCTGGGGAGTATAAACGTCAACTCCGCTATCACAAAAGTTCCCTATCTTTTTTGTAGGCGTACCACTTCACAAGACAATTAGTCGGCCTTCAGTAACAAGACTACAAGATCGTGTCACTCATTCTACACTCATCTCCATTTTACTTGGCTTAAAATACCTACCTTCATATGGTCGACATTTCAGATAAAAGTATAAAATGCACATTTTTTATAACATTTAGTTGTGGGGGAAGTTGCTACAAATGGAAAACATTAGTATTATAGTATAGGGTACCGGTACTTTATACTTTTCAATGAAATGGCGACCATACAAAGTAGGTATTTTAAGCCAAGTATGAATGGAGATTAGTGAAGGATGAGTGGCGCGATCTTGTAGTCTTATTAGTGACTAAGGCCGACTTATTCCTTAGACACAGCTGTTAATTAATGCCCCATACAGCTAACGGCAACTAAGGGACGTACAGTTTATAGTGGAATCCGAACCACATTTTTGCCTAGGTATATACGAATTGGTATAATTTTCAGGATAGTACTGTGGAGAGATTATCCGCAGTATCTTTTCCCAAGAAAGTTATATTTTTGTAACTTGGGCGAAGAGCCAAAAGTTGCAAAAACGGAGGCAAAATTATAAACTCCCCTCTGGGATTACATGACCAAGCACAGAGTTTTTAATTTAACGCATATTTTTGAGTGCTCTTTTATTTTAAGTCAGTAATTTTTTTGAACTAAATTAAACTAAAGATTTTTTACACCCATGATCCATCATCTTAATTACTGTATTTGCACACCTGTTGATGGGCTCACGCAAACATTCCTGATATATATGTTACACTCAATCTCCGAATTCGGACAATGTCCGAAATTTCTACCCACTCCGCGATGTGGATAATGCAAAATACCCACGTCGCGGAGTGAGCATTTTATTTCGGACATTGGCCGAAACGAAATGCCCAGACCGCGTTGTGGGTAAACTGATTTACTCAAACGCCGAAGTCAAAACCTTCTTCGGCGATTGAGCAAATTCAAAATACCCACAACGCGATGTGAGCAAAAGTGATTGCCCACGTCGGATAGTGGGTATTTCTAGTTTGCGCAAACGCCGACTAGTAGTTTATAAACTACCGTATACCCAAAAACCTACATGAAATCCACAATCACTAGGTAAAATAAATAACATTTATGTTTGTGGTTATAATTATTTAATGAATAAATATAATTTTAGAAAATACAAGAAAACAGCAAATTACCGATTAGGAAAGAATATAAGTCTCATTGCTCTCTATATACGTCTTCATTATGGATGTTCAGGCCACATTGCTTCCTTTGTCGCAATCATTGTCACATTGTGAAAGTATTTCGATTGACGTAGATTCTTGTTCTCCATGTTTGTTGTTGTTTACAATCGTTGGTCAGACTTCTGGTGTAGTCATCCATAGGAGTTCCCTTTTCGTTCTCTACTTCAGTCAAACTGCATTCTAGCTTAGAGAGCTCATATTCAAGTTCTTCCTCGGTTGTTATTATCTTCACGACTTCTGATGTCAAAGGAGAATCTATTAGTCCATTTCTCTGAGTTGCGCCGAATGGGTTTCTCTTAATAACACTGTGTTAACTGTTGTTCTGAGAATTTTGTATGATCTGGAGGCCATTTGCCCAGCCAGAGGAGTTGTTGTCGGCCATCCAAGCAACAAGACTATCCCTTACGTCTTGATTAACTTGTTCGACAGACCAAAACAACATCTCACAAGAGGTAATCACTGAACATAATTATATTAACTTGATCACGTGCGTATCACTACAGGATAGCAACAGTAAAGAAAACACAATACAGGTACAGGTCCGTCCATCCTAATCGCAGATAGTGGAAATGGTGGGGGTGACATGTCTAAACTTAAATTCGGCGTTTGCACAAACTAGAAATACCCACAACCCGACGTGGGCAATCCCTCTTGCTCACATCACGTTGTGGGTATTTTGGATTTGCTCAATCGCCGAAGAACGTTATGACTTCGGCATTTGAGTAAATCAATTTACCCACAACGCGGTCTGGGCATTTCACTTCGGCCAATGTCCGAATAAAATGCTCACTCCACGACGTGGGTATTACACGCCGTCCACATCGCGAAGTGGGTAGAAATTTCGGACATTGTCCGAATTCGGAGGTTGAGTGTAACATATATAATAATACTCACTCACCACGCACCCTCTCCACTACATGCTTTAGGTTGTGGGGCACACTGCTATACAGGGAAGTGTAAATGGAGTACAAATCAGCCTATACTTCTTACAGTCGATACTACCAAGAATAACAAAGAATTTAACATTAGACCAAATTTTGATATATCTCTATTCTCATTTTTGGCTGTATGATTTGTAACAGATTTGAGACCGCCTTCTTAAACTGGGATGAATTCAATCGGCTTACAATATCTGACAGGTTGAAATTTGGTACAGAGAAAACATCCAATAGTACACTAATGTGTTGTCTAGGGAAGTCCAACACCGCCCCCCTTGCCCTCATGTCCTTACAACGCTGGAGGAATACCCTGTGCCCTGTGCAGGGTGAACAGCTCTCTCCGTTCCGTTCGGGCTCTTCCTTGTTCGTCACAAGTATATTTCCAGTGCAACATACCAGAGCTGACATCGCATGGTCATTCCATAATGTAGGTCCCATTCCTCTATACTTTACTTCTCTAAGATAATAAAAATTTGACAAAGCAATAAATATCTTAATGCACCACTACACTTTGTTTATTTTACGACTACTGGTACCTTCAAAATTAAATAGAATAAAGTAATTGCTTGGATATTGCCTTTATAATTTCTTTAAGCAAATATTGTATATGCAACTTTAGAAAAAAATTTTTGGTTCTACTTAACATTGTGGGGGGAAATCTGAAATCTGAAGACTGTTCCATTTATATAGTCTTGTATATATCTGCTGTATCCATACTTTATTCCCATTGAAATTAATAAGATCAGTAATTTGTATACACTATTTGTGGACCCAGAGGTTGTCGAGTTTGTGGGTTATCAAACTATCAAGAAAATAAAAATGTTTAATGAGTTTAAATAAATGAATACATAATAGACAAATTTTTACAAATAAATAAAAAAGTTGAATATTCAAAATATTCAACAATTAAAACTTGAAAAGTCAAACACAATAGTAAGACCATAGACAAAAAGAATTAAATATATAAACCGTCAGCTGTGCTGCGGTTACCATTGGTTCTGGCGCACACCACTGGGATCGCCACGGTAGTTACAGTGTACGCGCTACGTAAACTACAGCGGTGTGCGCCGGAACTTATGGTAACCATGGTAACCACAGCACGGCTGACAGTCTATATTTCATTCTTTTTGTCTATGGTAAGACAAAGCCAGCTATATGTTTTCCCTGACAGCTGTTGACTGTCGAGTTACTTAAAAGGACTGTCAAATAATCGAGGTTTTACTGTACAGTAAATAGGTTAACTATTCCCTTTTTAGGGGTTTTAAATAGACTATGTTCATGTGCAAAAATAAATACAAAGTGGTCCACGGACTCCTTAACCGAGTTGGGTACCACTGCCCTAAGACCTAAATCATACGGAGGCTAATGCCGTCGGCAAGTCCGTGTCAGCCGTACACTGAGCGCTGCCAATGTGTATGGTCCCGTCAGCAACACGGTGTTGGTGACAGGGGGACCCTGTCTTACAGAGCGCTAGCGTCAGGGGGATACATTTGCCACCCGACTACTGGCAGATCAACTCTAAGACCTTTTTGACCTTTTTTGAGTGATCATCAACACTTTGTCTGTCTTTCTTATTTTCTCACACACAGCACTAAGGAGTTTGTGAAAATAATCAACTGACTTTCAAAAGTAACGAAAGAATATCTCTTCATACTTCCTGTCTGAACATAAGATAAAACTATCCTTTCAACAAACGTCAAGAACAGGATGGGTACTCTATCGTCTTGTATTCTTCCGATAATATTCTTTGATAATGTGCATTAAGATTAAACAACCTATTGATGGTGTCCATCTTGGAAATAAAATAAGTGCTGTGACTGTAATTGCGCCCGGAAGACGCTACGTATAACAGACACACAGTGTTGGTGGGAAGGGATCAACGCGACGCATTTGCCGTCACGTATGATATGGACTTTTTCGGGCGCGATGGCAATAGCGATGATATGATATCAGCCTGAAGGATTAGTATTTTCTGTTGCAATGGGAATCCTAAACCTTGTATTTTTTTTTTCACAATCAATAAGTGACTGCTGTAAATGTGTAAGGTCAGGAGCTCATCAAAAATTGTTAATCTCATTTAAAAATAAGAGTAAAATGGTTTCTGCCATCTCTAAGCATTATTGTGAAGTGAAACTGACCATGTTCAAACAAACTGCATTCAGGGGATGCATTCCAAATCTGCGTTATCTCTTCCTTTTAAAACACATTGCGATAACTATAGCAACAGGCCCTCCTCACTCATTGGAGCATCCGAGCAATTCAGACAACTGCATTCTTGGACCAAAAGTGACATTTTTGCAACCTAGTTACGGATAAAAAGTTGTAGAGAGTAAGTCGCCAAGTATGTCAGTAGCCTTAGGGTTGATGATGGTTATTTCAGGACTGCCTTTTATTTCTTTTTAAACTTTATAAATGTTAATATGCCAATCAATAGGGCCTATAATACAGAAAAGCCAACTTTCAAAATTATATTTTTGAAACATCCTATCCAAACTCTTATGTTCTTAGAATTAATAAAATTCCTGAACATAAGATAATACTATGCAAGGAACAACGATTTCACCACATTATAATACCTCTTCCACCAAAAGAATCACAATTATAAGTATAAATTAATTTTATAGATTGGATAAATAACACGCTGAAATTTATAAGTAACATTTTATTTTATAGCTACAATTTTTCCTATTTATAATAGTTATATATTAAATTGTGAATTGATAAAATGACATGAGTGTTATATACGGATCAGAGATGTGTTAGTGATGATGAGACTGTACTCAAGGCACTGAGTCTGTTATAACTTGTACGTTTGACACTCTGGTAAGGCCAGATAGGACGGTAATGAGTTAATAAGTACTTTACTGTTCTAACAACAGGAATCACAGGGGCAAATCATATTTGCTCTTCCTATTTAATAAACAACTGAGCAATATTACACTATAGAGATATGCAAGATACGAATACGAAAATACAAAACTGTAAAAAAATCAACTAACACTAAACACCAAATTTATAATATTGCACCAAACAAAAAGTGAATGAGAAATGATTTTGCATAATTTAAGGGAGGAGTTACATTTACAAGATTGACGCAGTCGTACGAGCGTCCCAATTAAATCGGTGTATTTATTGCACATCTCTATTAGAACATAAATGATAATTACTTATGGAATAAACTACATTATCTAAATTACTAAATATTATAAAAATACTGGAAATAGCTTCCCTAATGTATTCGGGTAACAGATTTCCAATATAACATTGGGTAATATACCCTGTCCTGCTCAATCACCGTCAGTCAGGAGGATATGGACTAGATATTAAAAATATTACATTTCATTAATGTACTTAATAATTATTGCTAACACTTACGATTACTAATATATTCTATTGCTAAGTAACGTGTTTTTAAATATATGAACAAATTTTACACGTCATCTAAACCCCTTTTAATGGTATGAGGTATGGCGATCGCATTTCGAAGCCTCAAAATACTAACGATGGCACACGAAATGGATGCTGTAGCAGTGCTTGAAAAATATGATCAGTCAACTTGACTAAACGGAACTAAAATTAACAGGTTAGTGGTTGGTTTGCTGATATGTCAACATGATGAGATCAGAGCTGTACTCGAAATACAGTACTTGAAAATAGTTATGTTGCATATCATGTTTTTCCATAATTAGTTTGCATTTTTGTTATGCTTTGGTCACGCTTAAATATTAAGTGATGTATGAAATAATTTCAAATATGAAAACACAGAGCTGATTTTTTACTGGCCAATTTTGATAATAGTTTGTGAATATTCTTTTCTAGCATAAGTACGGTAGTACATGTACACCTTCAATATTTAAGTAGTAAGAATATTTTTAAATTGACTACCAAGGCAACATCTAAAAACATTTAACATATCAAGCAGTGCTCTAAACTTAACATTAAAACCTCTGACTACAAAGTTTGTTGACTGAATTATTATTTGGTATGATTTGTTAATTGACATAGACTATCAAGTCTTGCAGTTGGATATTCTTTGGTCAATGTATTTGTACATTTAGTTGTAGTTTCACTACAGACATTTTCTGCAGTGTGATGTTAGTCCAGGTTTAGTTTGTAAAAATTACATAAAATGTTATCCAGAAAACTATCTTATTATTTTTATTTTTTAAATAACTTTCCCATATAGCACTGGGGCAAAGCAGTTTAGATAACAGATTTACTATCTAATTTACAAGTTACTTAAGATAATGTGTGGGGCATGTGTTAATATCCCCATAAACATAGTACAATTGTATAGCTAGGTAAAAGAAATAAGTTAGGGTACCTATGTGGTTCAAAAGCAAAATTCAAGTCGCCTCATTTTAAAATGTGAAATTGCGATTGTAATTGAAAATGAGATTCTTAAAATGGTAAACTAAGAAAGTTTGAGTCTAGTACACGGTGATACAAACATTGTTAATTATAATGTATTATTAAATATTTACAAATATCATAGTTGCATCACTAATAAGATACATCAAAGAGAAAAATTTAAGCTGTCGTACGAAGTATAAGAACTAATGAATTAATTAAATATTTTTGTCGAGCTAATAAATAATTAAGATTGTAAAATGTACATCAAATGTCTACAACAAATAAAAAATCTAAACATCGTAACAGAAGAATATATTAATAAATAAATATGAAGGCCTAACGAAAAAACATCCGATAACTTTTAATTTTAATAAAGCTTCGGAATTCGAACGTTCCCCCGTTCAAAGTGATTTCTCAGAGAATCTGTGTAAGGAAATTAAACTACCCTATGAAAGTAACTAGTCCATTACGATTAACGATAAATTAACACTAAATTACTGCTAGATGCCGCACAATTACGTTTGCACAATTATGTTTGACCACACGATCACAACCGATATTGCCAACAAGATAACAATGTTCGGCCCGAGGCCGGATAACAATGTGAGGGCTAAGACGAGGGAGGGGATCATTGTAGCCTTGCCTCCTGCAGAGTGGCTGCTTGTGCTGCGGCTGCGGTGTAGGGTGACAGTCCGGTAAAGGCACTGGCTGCAGTGGCTGCGGTGGGCAAAGCTGCGGACTGCTGCAGAGTGGCATAGGCATACGGAGTCACATAGCTGGCAGCCCCTGCACAAACACATTGGTTAGATCAGGGCCCTGACACTGTTATGCAGACATAGACCTTTGTTAACACATTGTCAAACTCTACATTGTCAAGATCCTTGAACAAGGCTGGAATCAGGAGATTTGTTTGGGGGGGGGGGGCAAGGATTGATTCCCCCCCCCCTCCTAACCAAAATACCAAATACCTGCGTAAGCTATTATTTTAGACAGGTTATTATTTAGGCTAAGCTATTATTTTAGGTTTAGATAGGATTTGAAATAACAAAAAATTTTATGAGGAACTGATGAACATTTATTTAAAACCTTAAAACTTTATTTTTCTGGCTTTCTTTGTGGCAAATATATTGATGATCTCGTCAAAGTTTATGTGTCTAGCTCTTTTATTTTATATTAAGATGACACTATTTGTCAGCATCTCTTGGCCCGTTGTACTTCTTAGGTAGTTTTTTGATCAGTTTCAATTTACTAAATTCCGTTCTCCAGTTGCCACGGATACAGGGAGCGTGAGAAAAAGTCTTAACTTAACACAGTTGTTACATTGGGGTGGGCCTCATCTAGCTTAATCTCATGAATAACACTTAACGTCGTTCTTGCCATGATGGAGGAGTATATTTCCTTTCTTGTCTCAAAGTGATCTATTTCAGGGCAAATTTTGTTCATGAGCGAGGTAGAGAAACAATATTACTGAGCCCCGAAACGGGACTTTAGTGACAAGTAGTGAATGATTCTTTTCTTCACACTGCAAAGAATCAAAATCGGTTAATATAATGAATAGCTCTAAATTAGTGCTTCTGTGGAGCAAAAGAAAACTTTGATTGTATGGGACAAGAAAAACTTTGTTGAGGCTGGAAAATAATATGATTTTATAGATTTGAAATCAACAATTTTAGAAAAGCTCTCTGCTGATTGGAAATTATTTCCATTACAGAAGGCCAATGGTTGTAAACAGAATGATGAAAATTATTTTTTCCTCGTTATAAGAACATCAAAATTATTTGAAACAGGTTGATACAGTTAAATAGGTGAACATGTGTAACATAAGTGGTGGTTTTAGAGGAATGGCAGCTATTAGCAGATGGGGATGGAATGTGAGTGGGGGAAGCCCACAAAGTACACTTTCCCTCACTAGCCTGGAGGCCAGAGAACTCTCCACAGAGGTGTTCGTTTCAATTATAGACATGAAAGGATCCCATCAAGCAGAGCAGAGAGGGTGCTCATGAAGAATTACTCAGTGTTTAGTCTTGACTTTGGCTTTTCATACATAAGAAATAACGATATCAGGACAAAAATCACACTGAAAAGCTTAAACAGCATACATTAGACTAGCATGGTGCAATCACCATGCTAAGAAGAATGTATTACTCTAAACTATTTGTTTTTATGATCGACTAGAACAGTTATAATATAGCTGCTGCAAAAAACAAAAAAAAACTACATTTTAAACTACATAATCAGAGAGTGCACTCTTATTGAGTCAACAAAAGCCATGTTACTTCATACTTTAATCGAACTGAGAAAAATAAATACTTAGCTAATCTGGAACTTTTACACATGCAGCCCACTCCTAGTGTTGAGAACAGGAGTTAAAGGAGTTCATGACATCCTCGAAGGCTCAAAATTTCCTTTATGTTTAGAACTTTATCTATGCTTCCATACCAAAAGGTTTTAACAAAATATCTTATTGCTACTGAAGCTATACATCTCTAAAACAAATTAATTAATTATTGCTATGTTCAGTCTTCTAAACAGTTCTAAAAACAAAACATGAAAGGAGATTTTTAAGGTGGGAGGGGAGAATGGTTACAGATATTACGCTTCTGGTAAAAAAACTACTTTATGCTAAGGTTTAGCTTATGATAATTACATTACACTCATATTACGCAATCACTACAGGGTGAAGACTAAGATTTCAGAAGGATGTATGTTCCATAAGATGACAGCTACTAAGATAAGCTATTTCATTAGGCAGGACTATTCCAAAGCCCTCTAAAGAACTGAGACTTGTTTCACATACCGGCAGCCGTAGTGTAAGGGTAAGTCTCAAAGCCGTTAGTGTATGCCTGGCTGGGGTAGGAAGACACTGCAGCTGCGGCTGCGGCGGCGGCTGCTGCGTTCTGGTACTCATAGAACTGCGATGCTGCGGCTGCGGCGAGTGCTGCGTGTGACAGTTGGGCCGGGGGTAGAGACACAACCCCGGGGGTCGCAGCGGCTGCGGCGCTCAGGTAAGGTGACTGGTACACATAACCGGGCGGTACACTGTAACATGAGCAGACCTGTTAGTGTCCGGCACAGGTTGAGATTGAAGTTTTGTGTCAAATAGTGAAGGATTTTGGCTTGCGGTGAGATTTAATTAAGAAAACTCCCTCACACTATTCTGACAAAGAAGGGTAATATTAGTCAGCCAAACAGAGAAAATTAAAATTGTATACTTGGATAAATAAATAGACCTAATAAAAGTAATATCCGATTCCAAAAAGTAATAATAACTGGACATAAATTGGTCACAATTTTTCGGTTTAGACAGATGTATTGTTTGATTAGTGTATCCTAGTTGCTGTACTCATGTTATGGTTTCTTTGGATATAGTAAGGATTACTATAAAGACTAAAAGATTTTGAGATTATTGATTCTTATCCACCCATCTTAGAGCAAAACTCTTGATCAGAAATTAATTAAAAGTATATTCAAGAGTTCATTATTATAGGAACTAACAATAAATTATGCATCCACATAGGTTAGTTTAGTGGATAAAGGTTTAACAGATAACAATATTCTATGACTTTCAGAAAATAAGTAACCAGGCATGATATTTTCTAGTTTTATTTGTATATTTTTCAGGCAGGGATTGGTCAAAGTTTTGTTCCTGTTAGTAAAACATCAAAATGTATTGGGTTTTTTAAAAAAGCTTGACCAAAATAGATCTTTTTTCATTACAAATTTGGAAGGTATTTAGTTTTGAAATAATATTTTAAGTCTTCAACAGATTTTTTAGGGACTGACCATGATACACCTACTCTTATTTTGATTTATTTTCTACAATAAGTTCTACGTTAAGCCTTATTTTTAACACTACAGTACAAAGTCAATGATAGTTAAGGTATTATTTAAACCCGAATCACATCATAAAAACTTCAAAACAGTGAAACAACACCAAATCAAACTCTAAAAAAATTAATCATTAAAACGTTAACATCAATTACCTCTACTCACTTGCTCTCCCCTTGCAAGAAAGGTTAAAATTATGGATTGATAATCCAAATAAATTTGCAACCAGAAGTAACAAACCCTTCTTCAGGGAATGTCAATCTTGTGCAAAGAGTTGTTCATTTGTGTGTCTTAATACTTTCAATTTTTGAAAAAGCAAACAATTCCGAAGATAAATTCATACATTCTTTTACTTTATTTATTAAAAACTTAATTTAACTCATTAATTCGGAGTAAAATGAAATCGCTTCAAGCCAAACAATTAAGTTAAAGTTATATGTGATATGCTATACAATATTATTTATATGGGTGATTCCCGTTGGTATTTTATTTTGAAATAGTTGGTTTTTAAGAGTTTGGGTGAAAAAGAGTAAAAACAAAATCGAAACAAAGAAAATGTGTTTTTCATGATTGTAAGCTGTACTGTAAAACTTGAAAATATATTACGAAGTTTGGTTGCAACAGTAACATCAAAATTTTAAGCAAATTCTGTTACTTAAAAAATAAAACATTTCTTGGTGCTAAAAAATTACATATTATCATGAATGTTGTTAAGCTGAAAAAACAATATGTCACTCAGTTTTGCTCAATAACACAACCAACAAACCTGTGCATCCTAACATAAGAAAGGCGACCGTGAAGAAATGATACAAATCACAGTCATTTCCTATCGCAGCAATATTCTAAAGAAAATACAACAAAGCCTTACGGAACCAAAAGGTGGCTGTCCAAAATTGTTCTCCCTAAAATCCACAATATTGATCAACTAATGAATTGGGAAAAAGACAATCCTAAAGGTGCATCTATTATAAAAAGACAAACACTCTCACAAACTATTATTCCCTATAAAAAGAAGCCTGCTCTAAATACTGTAACCTTTATAGAGGAGGAGAACAATCCTTCTAAACATCAAGATTTTCCAGGTTTTAGGTAGAAGTAAGAATATGGTTTTTTTAACTACTAAACAATTTTTTTTTCTTGGATAAGAAACAATATTTATGGGTATTTTGATCATAGTGCAACTTGATGCTAAACAAATGAAAGGAAAGTATCAACCTATAAGTTTATCAGTAACTCAGACAGGGTGTATTTATCTGTATGCTTTAAAAAAATCTAATTTACTGTCACAATTCTGTTATTGAAGTAAAATGACATTTAGGATGAGAAAAGATAGAGGGGGTAAGCACTTTTGATTTTAGGCCAGATCAGACTAATATTTAGCTGCAGAAGAAGGTTTGGTGGTAAACTGTTGGCAAGCACTAGTCAACTATTTAATTAGAACTGCCTCAGATTTGTTTATTTACTGGATCTGCGCCAAGGTCTTCCAACAGATGCCGGAAACCATCAAAACCTCCACAATACAACCTGATATTCAGTGGCTAAGACACAGCCCTATGGTAATTTCTTCAAATAATCTATCATGATCATCTCACTAGATTTCAGGGTTTTGAATAAAATCTGAATAAAAAAACCGTGGATCCTTATTAAATAAGTTAATTACTCTGATATCATGTATGTTAGTGGTTGCAACAAAAACCACTAATAGATGTTTTTGTGGCTATAGGGTTTCAAAAACATTAGCATGTTGCAATAAAGGGAAATGAAACTTCTTAGCAAATTTCCACTCTAGGAATTAGGTAAAACCATTGACTATTGGATACTGAAGGTAAATTTCAAAAGTTTATTTTTTCATATTTTTCCAATATCCTCTTCATTATCTGTTTTAACTTTCCTTAAAATTAATTTATTGAGCGAAGCTCACTTTCCCTCACTTTGTAACTTCTTTGTAAGAGCATCAGAATGTAATGGCTTGACCAATTGATATGAAATTTGGCCAACAGCTAAACAATACTGAGCACAATGTTTAGGTAAAAAATATTTGCAAATTTCCTTCTGGATTTTATTTTACGGGTCACGCAATTTCGCTTGTTAATTTAATGTAAGTTGAAAGAAAAATTATATTGGGTTTATGACATATTAGTACAGGTAAAATAATACAAAAACACTCCATATAAACGACAAAATTTGTACATTCATGAAATTTCACCTGTGAGTTACTAATAATATGAGAAATGAAGATCCGATGAGTCCCCAAAATTTTGGGTGTCCTAAGGCCCTTTTTGGGGCCCTTTTTGTTCCGAAGGGCCCTTTTTCAAGAATAATTTTGTTTTTACGTTTAAGGTCAAGTGAGGTGTGGTTTTCGATGGTTTTAGTTATTTTAAATCGATTGGGACTAGTTTTAAGAGTATTAAACCACTCCATACAGGGTGTTTCGAAATATTATTACTTTTTACGATATTTAAATATTTATTCATAAAGTGATAAAATTAGTTACCTCCATGTTCTATATAAAAGGGGATTATTGAAAATAACTGTAATTCTTTATTATATAAGAGGGAAGGATCACAAGGAGTAAGATAAAATATTAAATACCCCCGTCACAGCAAACCTGCAGACTAAGCGAATTTTCATTTGCCCGATTTTCAATTAAATCTAAAATAGCATTGAGTTTAATGAATACTTAGGTTTGCTGCTACAAGGAGGCTAATAAAGTGTGTTTATAGTAAAATATCAATAGCCTAGTATAAAACAAATAAATTTGACAAGTTTTATTAAGACATATCTATAAACGAACAAACAAAATCATTTTACACTATTCTCCTTAAGAATAACATGGAATTTTAAATTTACAATTTTTGAATTTTATTCGTAACTAATACACTTACAAAACACGTTAATATACTAAATTATTTGTTTTCTATAAGCTCTTTAAAATGCTCTAGAGAAAAATTGGGAAACTTTGTCTTTTGGGGGTCAAAGATTACAAATTTTTACACATATAACACTGTTCCATTGACCGATTATGCCGGTTTCGTTAAAATTGAACCAAAATTACTTGAGTTATCATGTTTACGGGCACGTATATAACATGGACATATATAAAATATTTTGAGTGGATGGTGCTTTGGGCTTCTGGGGGCATCGAAATGAAAACGTAAATCGGTTTCGGGTCTATTTTTTACCATAAGACCTTCGAAAATTGCTTATCTCCTATATGGGATGTTCGCTAAAAGGGGATGGATTAAGTTTTACACTATAACATAATAACAAAGGTTACTAAGCAAAAATTTCAACTTTTAAGGTGGTGTGAATAATCTTTCAACGTGTTTTTTATGCAAATCTATTAAGTTAAGAGCAATTTCAAATTGATATATATTTTTCTTAGGTAGTTATTTAATTTTTTTTACATTTATTAAAAATTAAAATAATTGAATTTGTATAAAACCTTACATTACATATTAAAATGAAGTACTTAAACTAAAGCTATTTTTCTACAATTTCCATAGTATCTCTCTTTACAATTTCATCATCACAATAATTATTCTCAGACGACTCATTAACAATTTTATTATTCTTAGCAACTTGTCCATCTTTACTGATTTTGTCCGAGTTGGTGTTCAAGCAGGATTCTCCTTTACAAACCTAAAACCTTGCATATTGCAGAACAGGCAACAACAATCTTAAAGCACGAACAATGTGGTTCAAAAACACCTTTCATACATACTGATTACTGACGTTTGCAACTTGTATCTTAAGTTCCTCAAACTTATTTTTCAATCAATACAAGTACGGTTATCTTTCGTGGTTATGACGACCAGGACAACACTAAGACATCAGAGCAGCATTGTCGGTACAAGCATTTTTGTCCTGAACAATAGGAACGAGGTTTAACGGGTAAAAATTAGGGTTTCTTATTTACTTTACCCTCAAAACACAAAGTTTCTCAATTTTTCTCTAGAAAATTTTAAATAGCTTAAAAACAAATAATTTGGTATATTAACGTCTTTTTGTATGGTTATTAGTTACGGATAAAAATACTAAAATTGTAATTTTAAAATTCCCATGTTATTCTTATGTAGAATAGTGTAAAATGATTTTGTTTGTTTGTTAATAAATATATTTTGACCAAACTTATCAAATTTATTTGTTTTATACTAGGCTATTAATATTTTACTATAAACACACTTTATTAGCCTCCTTGTAGCAGCAAA